ATCATACACCTTTTCACGGAAATCAGCTGATTATGATCGGTGGCCAATCGATCGGCACACCTCTAGAGTTAAGTCATACATATGACAATCTCATGTCAGTCCTATGCACAACCCTTGAAATGAAGTGTTACCAAAATGATTTCTGCTAATCAGAGCCAGCTAATCAGAACATTTACTGATTCAAATCTCTGGCAGATTGATTGGTGCATCTGTTAAACCCCAGACTAGCCTTATGGGACTACGTCAGCTAGTGGTCTTTTGGTCAGGCCCTGAGCAGTCAGTTTAAGGAAATAATCATTGTCTAGGATATTCGCATAAAATGGTTAAAATTTTACTTAGTTCAATGTTTTCTAGGTGGTCAAAGTTGGTGCTAATGGGGAGGTGGAGACTGTGGAACAAGAAGAAGGAGTAGAAGCCCACTCTGAGGAGGACGAGGAGGATGCGGAGGTGGGACAGCAGCTCCTGGAGGAAGGAGAGGAGGCTGCCCAGCCTGCAAACCATCACCATAACTGGGCTAAAGACCCAGACTATCAGCCTCCATCTGGGGGGGTCAAAAAGGCCAAGAAGGTAAAGCATTCCCATTCTAAAAGACCAAAAAGTCCCCCTGTGCCTAAACTAAAGCTGCTGCTGTGCAGGGGAAGAAGAGTCGCCTGCGCTACGCTGAAGGAGACAAGGACATGGACGTCAGCGTGTACGACTTTGAAGAGGAGCAGCAGGAGGGCCTTCTGTCTGAGGTCAATGCAGAGAAAGTAGTCGGCAACATGAAGCCTCCAAAGCCCACAAAGATCAAGAAGAAAGGTACCTGACAGTAAAGCTAATGTTTCCTCATTCTTTCATTTTTGTTTCTGATGTCAAAGGACTGGTCCTTTAATGTCCTTCCATTGTTCTCTTCCAGCACAGCTCTAGTAGCTTTCAGCTGTTTTAGAAGTGGAACATGACTTCTTTTTCAAATATCGCATAGTAGAATGTTATTTTTTTTAAACGTTAACAGTTTATAATGTGCTTTACAGCTAATAGACAGCTTGTTGTTCAGAGTTGTGCTGCAGATGCTGAACTCAGCATTTTCTGAAAGCTTTGGGAAGATGGTGTCCCTGAAAGCTGTGTGTGTGTGTGTGTGTGTGTGTGTGTGTGTGTGTGTGTGTGTGTGTGTGTGTGTGTGTGTGTGTGTGTGTGTGTGTGTTAGGGGTGAAGAAGACTTTCCAGTGCGAGCTGTGCAGCTACACATGTCCTCGTCGCTCCAACCTGGACCGGCACATGAAAAGCCACACCGATGAGAGACCCCACAAATGTCACCTGTGTGGAAGGGCCTTCAGGACAGTGACACTGCTGAGAAATCATCTCAACACACACACAGGTTGTAAACACACTCCAGAAATGGATTTAACTATTGTTGTTTTTTTGCCTGTCCAATAGTTGGATGAAGCGGTCCAGTCAAAGCTTCACCTGCCTGAGCCCGCCCTGCTCCACCAGCCAGCACACATTCCACAGCCTGCTGCTAGCATCACCAGCTCAACCTGGCTCAGCTATCACTTCTTCACTGGAAGCAGTCATTGCTTCTTTAAAAAAATATCAATTGGATTAATATCTCAGTGTTTAAGTGTTTTAATATTCGAACAGAAAACATTTGATGCTGCCATGGAAGCAGCATCAGACAGTGACCACACTGAGACATAGGAAGAGTCCACTCTGGACTGGCCATCAGTCACCATACAAATTTCGCTGCTGTTTATTAAATGCTCATTGTTAAGCAACAACTAAAGCTAAGTCTTAACAACTGCTTTTAGCATGTAAGAAAATCCTTAAAAAACCACTAGAGATGGCTAGACAGAAGCAAAACAAGCTGGGAATTCAGCTCAACTTAAGGCACTTTACAAAAAATATAATTTCTGTCTAATCATACATCCATTCCAACTAATCCTAGTTATCAAACTATAGATCAAGTTCAGCTTATTATTCAAATTAGTTTGAAAAGTTTCCTGTCTAAGGAAACCCAGCAGGTTGCAGCCAGTCATTGCCTTACAGCATTCTCTCCTCCTGGACCAGCATGTAGCGACAGTGGAGAGGAAAAGTTCCCCTTTAACCAGAAGAAACCTGCAGCAGAACAGAACCAGAACTTGGCTCAGTACCAGCAGCTATCTGCCACCATCTACTGGGAGTTTGAGGAGATGGAGCAAAGACACAAAAAGAAAGAAAGAACTGATCCAGGAATATTTTATCTGTTAAAGAAAAGTAAAATGTTAACAGCAGGAGACACTCAAACACAGCAGTTAGTAATAATTATTTGCTAAACCATAGCTAGCATTAGAAAGTTTTTCCTATTTCTGCTACCTAGTGGTAGCAGTAAGATATTACAGTCAAGAGGATATAAAGTTGAAATTATCAGAAATCATGTTGATGGGCATTTCAGTTTTGACATTCAGCTTTAGTTTTATTTAGTGACACTGAAAGCAGACAGGAACAGGAAGCTGTGTGGTCCTTCTCTTCCAAACAAACATTTTCCTTCAGGTTTAGCTCCCGTTGCTATTAGCAACATGTTTCTTGCCCCTGCCGAAACAAGTGATCAAACTTCTGGATTAACTTCAGCAGTGAATGTGTGGTTTCAGACCTGGGCAGGATGGAGCTGCTAGTCATGTTTATGCACTCAACCACAAAAACTTCTTCTGGGACCATTTTGTTTTGCTTTCTTTTTTTCTTTCGTATTTCATTTTGATTGACGTCGTTTTCTAACAGTATTTGTTTGACTGTTGGCTGTTTTTGTTTAAATTTATGACAGTAAATATAAATCATCGTCTCAACAGGTGATGATAATGTCTGAGTGGAGGTTTAACACTCACATGTTCTCTGCATGTTGATGCAGGGACTCGACCACACAAGTGCACAGACTGTGACATGGCCTTTGTGACCAGTGGAGAACTGGTGCGTCACCGTCGCTACAAACACACACATGAGAAGCCATTCAAATGCTCCATGTGTGACTACGCCAGTGTGGAGGTAGGACCAGCTGCTGTCTACTGGACATGCATAGGGAGGGAAACAAATACACACTGTGTGTATGTGTGTATGTTTTCTAGGTGAGCAAACTGAAGCGGCACATTCGCTCCCATACTGGGGAACGTCCCTTCCAGTGCAGTCTGTGCAGCTACGCCAGCAGAGACACATACAAGCTGAAGAGACACATGAGGACACACTCAGGTAAATCTGACTCACCTATCAAGATGATGGAGGAAACATCTGGAAGGGGTTTTAGTTGCTGTCCTTGTACAACATAGTTTTCTGTCTTTATTTCTAATAATAAATATTTAGTCTAATGAAGAATGTTAGAAAATCCTCCCTAGTTTATTATGTGAACCAAATGCAGCACTTGATCTGTGCTGAGCTCCATTAGGTGACAGTACTCAGGAGTGAACCTGCTGCTTTTCGTTGTCAGGAGAAAAACCTTATGAGTGCTACATCTGCCACGCCCGATTCACCCAGAGCGGAACCATGAAGATGCACATCCTGCAGAAACACACAGAGAACGTGGCCAAGTTCCACTGTCCACACTGTGACACGGTCATCGCACGCAAGAGTGACCTGGGTAAGAACAGCCAGCGTGAAGGAGCCAGACCCGCTTCTCTTCCCTGGGCTCACTCACTCTGTCTGTCTGCATGCAGGGGTTCATCTGCGGAAGCAGCACTCGTTTATTGAGACCGGGAAGAAGTGTCGATATTGTGATGCTGTTTTCCATGAGCGCTACGCTCTAATCCAGCATCAAAAGTCCCACAAGAATGAGAAAAGGTTCAAGTGCGACCTGTGTGATTACTGCTGCCGTCAGGTTGGTCTGTTCTGCTGCTGGCTTGTTTCCAGGTTGGAAGCTGGAGCAAAACAAAGCCATTATATGTTATTTTCATTTAGTTTCAGTTTACTGTAGATGTTTACTTCTTGCTACATGTAGTCTCATCCTTTAGAAGCATTCCTGTTTCTTAGACCAAAAATCCTTAATAAGATCCTAAATCAGGGGTGTTTAGCTCCATGTGTGCTGTAGCCTTTACATGTATGTTAGAATGTGTTGTCTTACATGTATAGTTTTGTTTCCTGCTGAACATGTAAGTCCATAGATTTTTGTAACTTAAATTATTAGCAATCTTAGTCCAAATAATTCTCTTAACAGTACTTATTACATTCTAGAGCTGCAGCTAATGATTACTTAGTTGTCAGTAAATCAGTCTAAATGTAGCATTTTCTGTTCTGAATTTACTAAGATGCCTATGTTGTTACACAAACTCCCACAAATTAAAATAATTCTTCAAAAGTAAGTTTGATGCTTAAAAAATGTAAAATGTGGAGAACCAGAGATTAGGTAACCCAACTCATACCCCCGTCATGAGACAGTCTTACGTGGAGAATACTTTTTATGGACTAATAACTTTATGTGTAACTAACCCCCAAATCAACTTTTTTTTGTTGATTAAGTGTCTAAATCTTGGGTTCTATCTTTATGTTTCTATGTGAATTTCGACATTTTTGTGTAAATTTGTGTAGGTCCTTAATATTTTGTCTAAAACTGACTCAGTGCTGCCCCCTTTGGTCAAACAATGCCTACGATGTTTGACCAAAAACATCGAAGCTACTGCTTCTATTAGTCAGAGTTAGTTATGTTTTATGTATTTATGGTTTTGTCAGTCTTTGAACTCCATGTTGTGAGTCTGATGACTCAGAGTAGGCCACACCCCCTTTGAATGCCAGCCGGCTCCCTGTAAAGCTGTGATGTGTAACTGCTGCTGTGGTTTCAGGAGCGCCACATGGTCATGCACCGGCGGACCCACACAGGAGAGAAGCCGTTCGCGTGCAGCCAGTGTGAAAAGACCTTCAGGCAGAAGCAGCTGCTGGACATGCACTTCAAACGCTACCACGACCCCAACTTTGTTCCCACAGCTTTTGTTTGCCCCAAGTGTAGCAAGACGTTCACCCGCAGGGTGAGACTGCTCCTCCTCATCCTCTCCTGCTGACTGACTGAAGATAAAGAACATCCCGATCACATGTTCTCTTCTTCTGTAGAACACCATGGCTCGTCATTCTGAGAACTGTGGCGGGGAGGTGGAGGAGTTTGAGAACGGAGCTGCCACTCCAAAGAAAGGCAGGAGAGGAAGGAAGAGGAAGATGAGAAGCAGAAGGGATGAGGATGATAGCGGTGAGTCATTTTCAGAGTTGCATGTAAGTAGCAGCAAGATGCTGTGTTCACTCCTCTGATTCCTGTGTGTCTTCAGAAGATGACATCCCCGAACAAGACGAGGGTGAGGATGAGGGTGAAGAAGAAGCAGCACTGCTGCAGGAGGAGGAGGACCTGGAGGGCATGGAGCTAGACCAGGCTCCTGCTGTTATCCCAGTTGTGGCCCCAGAGGAGCCTCCAGTGAAGAGAAAACGAGGCCGACCCCCCAAGAACCCCAAACCTCAGACCCCCAGCAGAGTCGGGGCTGCTTCTTCTGGTGAGCAACACACACTGAAATGACTCCATGGTAAAAACTGGGAATGATGTCAGCAACATGGAGACAGTAGGACTGGGCCATATAATTGGCCACCAATCACAATTAACTAATTTTTGTGAAAAAGTATATGATTGTGATCTCCGATCACTGTCACTATCTTTTGTTGCTAATCACAAAGACCGATCACATGTATCTCAGACTTTGCAGCCTGCAGAAGTCAGTAGCCAAACTCCACCAAGTGTTTGTTTTTTAAATGTCACATTAAATTTGTTGTGTTGACGCATTTTGACACGCTTATTGTTCCGTCGCAAGACACAAACTTCCCCATTCACTCATGTGGAGCATTAAAGTTCCACATGACATGGCTTAGATGCTGCGCAGTGAGAATAACTTATTATTTGCTTACATTACTGGCCCTACCACTGGGTTCAGCAGGTTTTCTGGGGGAAATGCTGCTTCTACTGGCCTGTGTGACCACATGTCTTAAAACTCATTCTCTGTGTGTTTTTCAGTAGCTGCCACGATTCAGGTGGAGGACGAGCTGACGGGCGCAGTAGAGAACATCATAGTGAAAAAGGAGGGGGGCGACGCAGCACCTTCTGTGAAGCAGGGAGCGGGCCTGACAGTGGAAGGAGGGGTGGGTGGTGGTGAGGGGGTGGAGGAGGTGGAGCTGACTGTGAACCAGGAAACAACAGCAGCTACTGCTGCTAATGGAGATCTCACACCAGAGATGATCCTCAGCATGATGGACCGCTGAGCAGCAGAGGGTGGAGGCCCCACCCTGTGCTCCACCTGCACCCCTCCAGCTCCACTCTGGTCCAGGCTGAGCTGCTCTCTGACCGTTAAGACTTTTCTCCACTGAATCAATCTGCTTGTTTTGCTACTTTGTCCTACTCAAAGCCACATCCTGTCTGCCTGTGCCCACACACATTTCAGTTCATGTGCACACACAATCCCCCTGTGTGTGTGTGTGTGTGTGTGTGTGTGTGTGTGTGTGTGTGTGTGTGTGTGTGTGTGTGTGTGTGTGTGTGTGTGTGTGCACTAACATCTGAAAACACCAAGTAACAGAATTAGAGTTTTCTGTTGCGCTTGCTGTTTCTCCAGCCTGTCATTAACATCTGACTCTTTCTGAAGGCGGCCATCTTGTGCTGTGACCCTAAAGAGCAGAACCAGAAGCCATGCTATGGTTCTCTGTGCTGCTCTGACTTCTATTTCAGGGTGCGATGTAACATAGCAACACTTTTCCAGTCATTCAACAGTTTTTGTCTGAAATCCAGAGTTTGTCATTTCTTATCCGTTCCTTCGCTGTGGTCTTTAGGGTCTCCATGGCTGGTGGCTCGTTGCTGCTGTTGGTCTGTTAGTTTGGTCCATTTCATTTACTCAGACACAAACAAGGCTGGGGGACTTGGAATAGACTGCTTCTTTATCCTTTATGTTTAGCTCTCCTGTAAGCAGTGTGTGTGTCAGCTTACACACTGCTGACACACACACCCTGGTCCTTAGAGCTACTTGAACCACAGCGTTCTCTGCTGCCTCACAGGCGGGGCCAAGCACCAGTTGGTGAAGCATTTACTCCAAATTGGAGGAAGAAAAGAAAAGAAAAAAAGATTTAAGTCCAGAAAGTTTCAGAAATCATTGGAACAAACTTCTCCCAAAACGTTTTCTCCTGTTTCAAAACTGTGTTTGCCGCCGCCATCATTCAGAGTCCTGATGTTCCCTGGCGGACTGTGATGTCACAGTGTGTGAAGTTGATGTTTTCCCTGATCGAAGCAATCCATCATGTTAGGAAGGTTCTTCCACATCGTGCTCTGCAGTGTGAAGAACCCACTGGGCCTGAGCAACCAGTACCAGCATGGTGGTGTTTGTGAACATTCCACATGTTTTTAGGTGATGAGGTTTTCTAACTTCTAACTTTTCAGTCTCACTTCCTGCTCTGCTGCCAGCAGTCATCACACAGACCAGCTGACCTGGACCTGGACCTGAAACTGGACCCAAACCCAGACCTGGACATAAAACTGGACCCGGACCTGTCTGCTGGCTTCCATGTACATAAACGTTTTAAACCTTCCTGGAAGAAAGCCTTTCCTTTCTGATTTTGATAATGTTTTAAAAAGCGACTAAATGTCTTTCTGGTGCTCTGACTGGATCCTGGTGATCACTTGTGATTTCCAGCCAAAGATCAGCCCAAACTAAACCAGATGAGCCACTTTGTCATTTCCTGTGTGTTATTTTATTGCTTTACACTTTTTATTTTCTAGTTGCCTCTTCACTGTTTCTCCTTTGATTTGGTTATTCTTCCATCTGTAAAACAGTGTCCGGACTGCAGCACCTGATTGGGTGGTGAAGCCCTGTTTGAGTTTTCCTGTTTTTCAAAGGTTCTGTTTGCCATGAGCTGTTTCTTGATTGGTTAGCTGTCCTGTGGTGAGATGAAGCCTTATTGGATGTGTTTGCATGTCAACTTCATGCAAATCAAAAACTCAAAAATCTTTGTTAATAGGCTTCCCTAATGTCATCATCTGCTGTATCTCCAGGAATGTTAGTTGTATGAATCGCTTCAGATATCTGTCCTGTCCTGCAGCTGTTCAGTTCCAGCTACGTCTGGAACCTGTTTCCTACCATCTCTGTTTTCTGCTGTAATCTGAGATCTGCTCCTATAAAATGAAAGCTAATGTGCTGTGTTGCTGTTGGACATCTGGACACAGCTCTGATTTATTTGATCATGTTTTTGGCAGAGAACCTGCCTGTTCTAAATCCAACAGAACCAGAAACGTTGACCATGCCATTTCTTTAGTTACCACTCTGTACAGATAATACTGAACAATAAAATCACTGTAATGGACTTTTGGCTGCTGCATACTTCTGTCCCATCATGCATTTGCTTGGATTCATGTCATATTTATTTATTGATTGATTTAGAACCTAAAGAAGCAAAGTTCTATTTAGCACTGACTAAATGAAATCAGAAACCCGCCCAGTGGTTGGGAGAAGGGCTCCCTCTGTTGTCCAACTTCAATGCTTCAAGTTATTGAAATGTTAGAACAGAATATATTTTATTGATCCCAGAGGGGAAAATGCTAATTTGTTGACAAGCTACTCCAAAGTGTTAAATATTAGTAAATACAAATATATAACCAACATAGCCAAGGGATATAAAATTGATTTTAAAAAAAATAGATGTATAAATTACATCACATATGTGTGATATTTTAATTTAAATATGACCAGAATCTTTTAATAGATAAAATTACAATATGTTTTAAAATTACAGCATGTTTTAACCTATAAATAAATCTATAAATGAGTGTAGACTAAATTTAGAGTTAAATACATTAAGAGCTGTAGTGAAGTTTGATGACTTCAGGCAGGAATGATTTTGCTGAGCTGAGTTTTGGTGTCGTCAGCCTCAGGCTGAAAGTTCTTCATCCGTCCATCATGTCATGGAGTGGATGTCTGAATGATATTAATAAAATTAATAATATCTCCCCTCTTAGTAGCTGAAGACGCTGTCATCTAGCTGCTGCACCTGGATGGTGGAGGGAGTACTGTCAGTAGACCATAAATGTGAAGGTGGATGAGTATTATTATTAGTGCAAAAACTTCACTTAAAGGGACAGTGTTTTTTCCAGTGGCATGATGCTATTTTATAGCACAATCAAATAACTGTTACCTTCAGTTATAAAATTTCTGTATATATCAAATAGAACTTAAAAGGAATTTGACTTGCAATTTATCACCTTAAAATTGGATATCTGCTTCTAAAAACTTCTGCTCTTTGTGACACTCACGGCTCCTCTATAAACCCTTTAGCAAAGTTTTACCAGCGTTTCATGGACAAGTAGCTCCTATAACAATAATGAGCTCATCAGGTGCGCCATTCCACCAGGTGTTTGCTATTTGCTGCTGGCTAGTCTGAAGGAGCTGAATGGGGCAGTGGTAGGGGGAGGTCTGCTCTGAGAGGGGGGAAGCTTGGAAACTGAAACTCCAAGGAGTTTTGTCATCGAAGGTGCTGCTTGGTTGGCCCAGGCGTTCTGCACAGCTGAATGGTTGCTATGGGAGATGAAAGGATTTCTCAAACATGCATGTAATACTTGAGTCAACACTCCAGGTATGTTTTTGATGACGGAATAATATAACATAATGCAAACCTAAAAAGAAAGTCAATTTTACATAAAACTGCCCTGTTATTAAACAAATAAAGGACATTAAAACTCAGCAACAATTTAAGAGGAATGTCAAAATATGCACAATATTCAGTAATAATGAACTTTTTAGATAATACCAACATAGATGGATAAAAATCTTGAATCTATCTGCATTCCAGAGTAAGAAAACCAGTGGACTGTGCTGCCACACACTTCCAACTTGTCACATGATCTGTAAGGTCATATAATGTAGATCTAATATAGAAAATCTGTGTGAAGCCCAACGCTCTGCAGCCTCCACAGAACCACAGAGTTACAGATGACTCCATCTGCAGATGGACTCAAGATTTATTTACATCATTCCTACTCATGAAAATTTCTTGACCTTACTCTTTACTCTTGGCTCCCATTGACTTTTGGATCATATTTATGTTACAATGTTATCCAAAGAAGCTTGAAACTTCCCTCATCTTTTTACAGTTTTCTATACCTGTACGAAAGTGCACATTTCCTGACTGTGGTTTACTGCTTGCTAAATGGAACAGGATGTGTGTCTAAGTTCATGTGCAAAAAGTGCCTGCATGCTGAGCAAAATGTGAAGTATGTTTGTCGTGATGCAGGGTGAGAAACAGAAAGCAGCTCTTCTTCAGATGGCCGTCTCAGGCAGAGAGCAGATCCGCGATCCTCCAGTCCAGGACTGGATCGTTCTTGTACTCTGATCTGATTCTCATCTGGGCGGATGCTAAGCTCAGATCAACACTCAGTTGTTCTGCATTCTGGACTCCTTATGTGGCTCAAGAGAGAAGCTTGGACATTTCTGCTTGAATTCATCACATCTCAGAGCTTGACAGCATGGACTCCATCTCTCAGACTTTGCGAGGTAACATCTAGCACTGTTCATTGTTGTTCTACAGTAGGACACAAACTGGATGGAAAATACTTTTTTTGTTCTCTGTGTACAATCATGCATGCTTTTACTCCTCAAAATTGACATTACTGGGGACAAAGTAAATGTTAAACAGACGATGATCTATGGCTTTGCAGTGTACGTCTTTGTAATCATGTCTAAGGTTATTTCAACTACACGCACAAAAAGGCTTCATGTGAGTAAAATAAAGTTTGTGAAGTAGGACAGGTTCTGCTTATCTGGAAAATATGCATACATGATGTACCACTCATTACACGCATATGTGATGCATCAGTTGAACTTCAGAGTTGAGTCAGCCTTTAGTGTTTTACTAAAGGACGGTTGCTGCGATGTGCCTCCAGCTTTAATTCCACCTCAACACTGACAGCAACTGCCTGAAAAAACAGGACTCAGCATAGCTGGTGGAAAAATGTCAGGACTACTGAGACCAAACAGGTATTTTGATTGTAATTATTATTTCACCAAGACTCACAGACAGATGGATACAAACAGGGAAGAAATGCTGAGGTATCTTTTTTGAAACTTGTTGTGAGGAAGGATCTTATTTGTTGGGTAAGATGAAACATCAAAATATGAAACACCTGAAAACACATTCTGCAATTTTTCCATTCTAACAGTTTTTTCATTTTTTCAGAATAAATTTTGGATTATATATGGAAAATGTTAAATAATATTTATGAAATATAAAAGTAATTTTATAGCATGACCTAAACTTTCATACATCACAAATTCTGACATTATAAGATGGGGGCATAAACATATGAGAGCTTGTATCTGCAGTATGTGATTTGACTTATATTTCTTGCCTTACTCTGGTTCATAATGAATTTATTCAGGCTTCATTGTGAACCTGTAGCACACACACTAATGTTAGCATGTTTGCTCTTTGTTTTGATATGACAGGCTGATAACTGTGAAGTTCCACTTCAGCTTTGTGTAGACAACACTTGTTCTCCTGCTTCCTAAACTTAGAGCTTTGCTTTGAACATCTGTAAATGTAATAACTGGTGAGCATAGCTCTGATCCCCATGAGAAACAATTCATGTAGAGTTGTTTCTCCATGGGTTGAGCTATTCTCAGAGCAGATCACAAAAATACTAGAACCATTTTGGGAGCAAAAATCTACCTGTTTTTGTCTGGCTTGACCGAAGTTCCTGCAGCAGAAACACACATTGGACATAACAAGCCCAGAAAACTTGCCTGGTTCCTGAAAAAGGTCCTGCAGAGGAAACACACCTAAAATGGAGAACAAGGGTTGGAGCCTTGTGGTGAGCCATTTGAAGGGAACACGGAAAATCTGTCCTGTAAAGTTGGAATTTAGTTTCAAATGTTCTTCTTTTTTTTTTTTTTAAGTTATTTTTAATTCATTCATTTATTTTCAATTATTATTTGATCAAGTCATTTGGCTGAATTGTGTTGAAACCAGAGAAAGTCAAATAAGAGCCGTTCTCCTGTTGTTTAGGAATCAGGTTCAGTAATGTGTCTTCCTGTTTCTCTGGGCCTCGAGGTAAACTGCATTTGGTCAAGAGTCAGTGCAGTACAACATGAGCACAATTATTAAACCAGTGAGTATTTTGATTTTGATCATTTTTGGGCAGATTTTCTAGCTCCAAGCTGGTTACACTTCAATGCTTAATGGATTTAATTATAGAAGGTGATGTATGTATGTGTAATGAAAGAGCTGAGAGGCATGGCCGAGGTTAGGAAGGATGAGACCAGAGACCCACTGGACTGAGCCAAGAGACACCTGCTGACAGATCCTTCAGAGGTTTTCTGGACTGATGAACTGAGTGACTCTGGGTGGACCAGGTGGATGGTCCTGTGGTGGATCAGTTAGAGGCACAGAGCTCCACCTTGAGTCTGATGCCAGCAAGGTGGAGGTGGGTACTAGTAGGGCTGGTGTTACAAATGATAAGCTGGTTGGACCTTTTAAGGTTGAAGATGGATTTATAATCCACTGAACTCCTTCTGGACTTTAGAAGACAGGAAGATGTCTGCATCTTTCAAAAATTATTTTATGCTGCATCACTTGCATCCAAATACCCCTCTGTGTAGTAAAGGCATTAAAGATGAAAAACCTATGGCATGGCCCTCCAACTCACCTGATCTGAACCCAGCTTATGCGGTTCAGCCATCCAGCTCTCTGACCAATGTCTGGGAGGCTGTGGATGCTGCTGCACAGAAAGGTGATCATCAACACATCAAGAAACTAATAAACTCCATTAATGAAAGGCTAATAATTGTTAATGAAAAGAAGGGTAGCTCTACTGGTTACTGATTTTATCATTTTTTTTCAATTAAATTTCAGAAATGTTTATTGGAAATAGTTTTTTTCTAGCAGTTTGTTTATAATTATCCCTTAAACAAATCTAAATAAAATAGTGAGTTGAGAAAATGTGTGTTTTTCAGTTAGTGTGTAATAATGCTGCACAATAATAGTTACTAATAATAGAGACAAGTAAATTATCATAATTTACAAAATCATGCAAAGTTGGCACTTTTAATGGACTTTCAATGCAACTTTTAGAGCAACTTTGCTTTGAAATTGTCATTATTTACCAAATGACACTTAATGACAACTGTCATAAACAATCATAAAGACTCCTTTATGTTTATGACAGTGTCATGTCAGTCTTATGCACACCCCTTCAAATAAAATGTTACAGAATAATCAAACCTTAACAGAAACTCAAAATAACCCAGGACATAACAACTGCTTTGTCAGCATCATTTCTGATATTCCAGAGATGTAAAGCAGCCTAATGCTGT